ATGGGGAAGGGGACATTGCCGTCACCGATAGTGACAGGGAAGGGGAAATGCCCTGTGATGCAAAAGAAGAGGCCTCTTGCTCTGAGAGTGACGCAGAGGAAGTGCCAGACGCTGTGATCCCTGCTGCTCCCAAGAAAATCACTTCCATTTCCTCTCCCCTGCGCGCCTTCGTCCGCCTGCGCCGGCGCTACCAGGGCCTGAAGAAAAGCCGGCTGCACTTGGAGCTGCCTCGGGAAAAGTCTGCAGAGTTTGTCCACACCAGGCTGCTCCAGAGGCAGCTGTCCCTGAGCAGAACTTCCCTGTACAACCCTTCCATGGCCTTCTTTAATCAGTCTGGCTTTGAGAGCTCCCAGTACTTCACCTTTGACACGTCTGTGGAACATTACTCGGTGAAAAAGTGCAGGCGGAAAAAGAGCCGGAGGAAATCCAGGATGGTTCTCTACCCAGATAAAACCAAAAAATACCTCCCAGCAGAGGAGAAGAGCAAGGCAAAGCGCTGCCTCCTCTTGCTCATTGCCATTATGTTCTTCCAGATTCTCAATGCAATAGAGAACCTGGATGATAACCTCCAAAAATACGACCTGGACGGTTTGGAGAAAACCATGCACCGGGAAGTGTTTGGGCAGAAGGTCGCTGTGGAAAGTATTGTGGAATTACTGAAGGACTATCTGGCCACCCATGTCCACAACAAGCCTCTGGTGATCTCTCTGAATGGCCCCACGGGGGTTGGCAAGAGCCACGTTGGCTGGGTGCTGGCCAAGCACTTCCGCTCGGTCATGGACAATGACTTTGTGCTGCAGTACTTTGTGATGCACCACTGCCCCAGCGGGGTGGCTCCCCTCACCTGTGCAATAGATCTGTCCAAGAAGATTGCTGACATGGTTACCAGAGCTGAAATAGAGGAAAAGACCCCGCTGTTTATTCTGGATGAGGTGGAGCTCATGTCCCCCGTCCTGCTGGACACTCTCAGCCGATTCTTTGAACCCAATCAAACCAACGAGTTCCTCAATGCCATCTACATTTTAATCAGCAACCTGGGAGGTGATGAAATCACAAAGTTCATTACCCAGAATGCATCCACTGAGCTCCTGCACCAGCAAAGGGGAGCTGAAGAGCTGCTGAGCATCATCCAGCCAGTGCTGGCCAGGGTGCACCCTCTGTGGAAGGCTGCAGACATCATCCCCTTCATCCTCCTGGAGAAGGCTCACGTCATAAACTGCTTCCTGGAGCAGATGAGGAGGGAGGGGCTCTATCCCGACCAGAAACACATTGAAAATTTGGCAAATCAGCTCAGTTACTACACTACAGGGGACAAGCAGTACTCCAGCATGGGCTGCAAGCAGGTTGTGGCCAAAGTCAACCTCCTGTAGGGATTTACTGCAGAGACCAAGCCCTGCTCTGCAGAGTTCTGTGCCCATGAGGGGTGTGTCCCACCAGGCTGGGCTCAAGGTGTCCTTTCTCAGCCCTGGTCCACGGGCAGCCTGGACAAGCTGGTCCCTGTTCTCCAGCAGAAACTTCACTTTTTCCTGATGTTCTGTGGAAAAGGAAGGGCAAAGAAGCTGGAGCGACCTCCCAGTCAGTGCAAGACTCTTTGTTCCTCATCCTCATTTGGGATTCTTGTCATTAAGGAGTTTTGAGGTGGCATCAAAAGCTGCAGGACATAAATAGGGTGGAACAATCCCTGGGTCACTGCCCCTGCAGAATTTGTCACCTCATGTGTCTCAGTCTCTCCAGGCTCACAGCTCCTTGCTTCCCTTGCTCCTGGCTGGGGTGTGCAGGGCAGGGGCAGGGCTGGAGCCCTGGCCTGGGACAGTTTGTGGCTCCTGCCCCCAGATGTGCAGGCTGCCCTCCCCAGCTCCTACGTGACCACATCCTCAGAACACTTCTTGGACCTGTTCCTGAGCTGTTGCTCTTCTGAGCTCATCCCTGAGCTCACCTTTGGCACCTGCAGTGAGATTTCTGCCCTGCAGGTGTGTTGGGGCTCGCCTCAAAGGCTGCTCAGCTGTGCCAGATGGTGCAGAAATAACTCTGGATTGTTTCAGGTCTGCTGGTGACACCTCATCCTCAGAGCTCTTCTGCTTTTTGCCTCTGGGGACACTGTGGGCAGGCGTTGTCTAGAAAGCCCAAAGCAGCAATGGATGGATATTGAGCAACACACACTGGAAAAGACAGTTTGGGCTGATGGAGTGGGGATCAGGGCTTGTTCCCAGTCCTGAGAGGCCAAGAAGAGGCTTTGCCATTGAGCCCCAGGTGAGATGTGGCCTGGGAGCAGCTTGGGAAGAGCACACAGCCATGTATTGAGCAAAACTGAGCAGGTATTTATGGCATTGTTTTCTCAGGTTGTGGTTTTGTACAAGATTTCTACAGCTTGCTGTGAATTCCCAGACAAGAACCCCTGTGGATGTTTGCACTGGGGTTTTGATTCACCTCTCTGTAATTGTTGGTCTCCAAAGACTCTGTCACATACTCCAGCTTCCAGAGCTATTGTCAGGAATAAACCCAAACTATCCTGAATAAAATAATTGAAAATACATTTCTTTCATTTGACTGAAATTTGGATTTCCTCCAAAATTTCCCTTCTAGAGCCATGTACCTCTGGCAAACCCAATCCCAACCCCACACAGTGCAGCAGTGCCAAAGCTGGGAGCTGCATCCAAGCCACCTCCTAAATCCATGTGTCCTCAAAAACCAACGTGTGGGAGCTGGGTTCCACAGCTCAGAGAGCTTAACTTAAGCAATGAGCTGAGCTTGCTGCTGAGACATTTGGGATGCTTTTATCCTGGATGAGAAACAACTCAGGGACCAGGATTCCCCTTCTCCAGCTGGGAGAGGGGCAGATGTTGGTTCTGATTGTCTCAACAATGTTTTGTTTATAAAAGGGAGTTTGGTTGTGCCAGAAGTCCCTGGGTGCCTCCACCCCAACCATCACCCTGTGCAAAAGAGGAGGGTGACTCCAGTGAGCACCTCAGAGTTTGTTTCCACCCCTCTAAATCAGGGCTCTTGGCCTTTTCCTGAGCCTGAATTTTCCTGGGTGCCCTGAGCACCTTGAAGTCCTGCTGGAGCCTTTGTGTCTCACAGATTCCTCTCAGTGCACAGAGCTGGGGCTCAGCTTCCTGCACCCCCTCATCCCTCATCCTTCATCCCTCATTCCTCATCCCTCAGCTCTGCAGGCTCTGGTCAGACAGCACAGGAGTCCCCAGGCTGTGGGGAGCACTTTTCCTGCCAGAAGATAAAATGCAGGACTCAAATCCCAGCTCAAATGGCTCTTTAGGTTGTCCCAAAGGCTTCCTCAGCTGGCAAAAGCTCTCCCTGAGTCAGGACACATCTGTGTGGTGCTGGAGCAGTGGTTGGGGCTGGCTGCTGCACACCCTGTGTCTCATCCCCGTTCACTGGGGTGGCTGTCACTGCTGCCTGGGACACTGCAGGTACTCTGCACCCTGCAGCTGCATCCAGAGCCACACTGGGGTTTGGCCAAGTTCCCTTTTTGCCCTGGGGAAGGTGCAGGGTGATTCCAACAGCTCTGTAGTGAGGAGGGGGCTGTCACTGCCCAGGAGAGCAGGGATGGGGGAGAGGGGTAGGAGGGGATAGGAAATAATTCATGTGTTGAGAGCTCAGACTGACCCACTGGCCACTCTGGGCTGGAGCTTTCCTAGGGCTGGTTCAGGACAGGGGTTCTGTGGGCAGGAGCTCCAAGTGCCCTGGTGTGTGAGTTTGGGAGGGTTTGTTTTATCTCACACAGTGGTTATGGACTGCTTAAGACAGGCAGGAGCTGGGGCTGGGGTTCCCAGGACTCCCCTGGGAATGGATGTGCCCTGTGCCTCTCCATGGCCATGGCCCAGCTCCAGCACAGGAGGGTGGGTGGGTGCACGTTCTGCAGGAGCTCTGGAGAACTTCAGCTGCCTCAGGGAAAAATAGAGCTTTGGATTGGAATATTCCTAAAAAGGACCTAATCCCCAGCAGCCTCCCTTCATCAAAGCCTGTCTGAGGCTGCCTCCAGAGCTGGGTGCTCCTGGTGGGGCCAGCCTGGCTGCCAGGCTGAGTCCTGCAGGATTTCCCTCCCCTTGGGAAGCTGTGGTGGCCCAGGAGCAGAGCTCTGTCACACAGCATCGCCCCAGCCCTGCTGGGCCTGCCTGTCCCTGAGCTCCCTGGGTGCTGCCAGGGCTGTGTGCCCACCCTGCAGGACCTTGTCCTCTCTCCTGAGGCCTCTGCCCATCCCTGAGCATCTCTGATGTTGGCCAAGGGCACCTGGGCTGTGTTTGCAGACAGAGGGGTGCAGAGGGATCCCATCTCCACGTGCAGCATGGACTTGTCCCTGTGCTAAGGGCAAGGAAAAGCTGCTGCCAGTCCCTGCAAGGGATTTGTTGCTTTTCCAGCTCCCGTGGTTGTCACTAAACAGGTGAGGTGCCACCAGGAAAGCAGATTTTGGTCCCAGGGATGGCAGGGAAGATCAGGGCTGCAGGAGAGGAGACAAGAGCAAGCACAGCCCAGGCAGGTCAGGCTGCAGCTCCTGCCAGGGTGCAGAGGGAGTTTCTGCAGTGGCTTCTGAGACCTTGTGGGGCTGGAGTGCGTCCTGGAAAGGTGCAAGGAGGACAAGGACCCCCTCTCCTTGGGAAGGAGGAGGAGGGACAGGGAAATGCAGGAGTGAATGCATTACCTGTGAGCATCCTGGAGAGATGGGAGGAATTACATCCAAGGTTTGTCAAAAACAGTTGTAACCATAGAATTGAATTTAGTTTCTTCCTCTCATGGGATATTCAGAGATTAGCTGTTAATAGTTACTGGGATGAACTGGTGAGAGTTTTCCAGAGCTGGGGAAATGAAATATTCCATAAATGGTGGGAGAGCAGAGTTAGACAGAAACAGACATGGTTTGTCTGCCCATGGAATTTGGGGGGGAAGGGGAGCTGAGAGGCACCCAAACACTGCAGGAGACAGGCCTGGGATGGAAATCATAAACTGGGGGAAAGGTCTGAAAGAAGGTGCTGCAGAGGAGGGTGTGAGTGAGCAAATGCACGTTCCAGGGTGGGGAGGGTGAAGGGCTGGAAGGAAAACAAGCCTGGGGGCATCGCAGCACTCACCCTCCACAGGAGGGATAACACCCCGGGGCCAGACAGGCAAACATCCCATTAAAATGTATAAATAGGTGTGCTGCATATGCAAGGGGTGAAGTAATGCCGGGCCATGCTGCAGCAGTGTGGCACCATATTTGGGCACCTCTGGGCAGGAGGGAGGGAGAGCTGGGTGCTGTGCCCTGGGCAGGAGGGAGAGGGGGAGAGCTGGGTGCTGTGCCCTCCCAGCATCCTGCGCCAGGAGGGAGTGTTAAGAAGCTTGACTAGGCCAATGTTCAAGCAGCAATCAATTTATTATTTAATATGGTAAAGTATGAGCAATACAGCGCTGGGTACAGTGGGAGAAGTTTTCCCTCCAACTGCACACCCATAGTTGAGGGTTACAGGTATTTATAGGGGTACTCATCAGCTTTCTCAGCAGTTTCTATCCCAATTTTTACTCATCAGCAGTTTCTATTTCCCAATTTTTACATCACAATTCTATACACTATTGTGATTTAGTTTTTCTTAGGATGTATCCCAAAAGGAGTATCCCCAGATGGTGGTGGTCCAGTTTCTGAAAGAAGAAAGAGGAATCCCATATGGAGGAGTCCAGCTCCCCAGATGTGGGTCCAACTTTTAATTGCAAGGACTGTAAGTCTCACAACAGTGATGTCCAGCTTCCCTTGGTCGAAACCATAAACCCTTGAGGTGATGTTCATCTTCCTTTCTCAACCTGTTTTTCTCTGCTTTATTAAGGCGTGAGATAAACTTTATATATATTCCAGAGCTATAGTTTCAAGGATACAAGCAATATTCTAAAATTATACTTCAAAAGTTTATTATTGCAGAACTCTTTAAGGATTAACTATAAGCAAAAAGCAACATCCTTAACGCTTTAATTCCAATGCTCCTAAATCAACTAAAGTTAATTGCAAACAAAAGATAGGTTCAAAGGCCTTCTTCCATGCTTTACTTTCCTCAGTTATTATTAGAATTTGCAACTGTCCCAGTGTTGGCCTCCGCACATATCTCAATCACAAATACACACATTGCCTGTATGTACCTGACACGAAACACAGCTTTGTATTTCACAGGAGGGGAGCTGGGTGCTGTGGCTCCCCAGCATCCTGCCAGGAGCTGGAGTGCAGGACGGGCCATGAAACCCTGGGAGGAGTTCCACGTTGTTCTGGTTTAGGGCAAACTTGGGAGAAAACCTCCAAAGGGGCCCCTCCAGAAAGCAAACCCACATGGCTTCTCCCCCCAAACGGTTTGGGAAGGATTCCTTGGACAGAAGTGGAAAGAACCTGTTTATTTAACAGGCACAGCATCCCCAGCACACAGAATGAACAATACCAGGTGACACCACTGTGTCACTGCTCTGAAAAAGATTACAAATTCAGAAAGTCTCTCTGGGGGTGGTCGCTCTGTTCTCAGTCCCTCCTGTGCTGGGGCAGCTGCTGCAGCCACAAGGTGCAAACTCTCGGTGTTCCCAGGTCCCAGCCTGGAGCAGGTTTGAGTAGGTCCAAAAAAGGGAAAGGAGAAACAGTCCAGGGAAAATTTGGACTGTTTAGCTAAACTAGCTAATGAGCAGAAGCAAAAAGCAGGAGCAAATCAGAAGCAAGAGCAAAGCAAAAAGCAAAAGCAGGGCCATGCACTGCCCTGTCTCTGTGTCCCACCAGCCATGGGGGAGCAACTGATAAGAAAGCAAAACAAAACATTCACTCTCCAGAGCCAGTCTTGAAGGCACAGAACAGATATCCAGCATAAACAGAACACATGGATGGGGATACAAGCATCACAATGCCACCCTAGGACACAGGTGAAGCACGAGAAAAGCTTTCAAACATGCAAAACATGGACAGAAAGGAGACAGCGGTGCTCGGTTCTCCCAGCCCTCTCTGGGCAGGGTGTGGAGCTGGCCCTGGAGAGGGAGGTTTATGTAAAACTTTGGGGAAATTGCTTCAGCTGTGGAAGTGCAGCTAATTTTCCTAACACTTACAACTACCCTTTTAACCCCTTTTACAATATAATAACCAAACTAACACTACAGGCTTAATGATCTATCAACTATTTTACAACAGTTTTTAACTTATTTTTAACAGTGGGACTGAGGGTGGTTTGGGCAGAGACAGGGCTCTGCTCAGGGCTCTCAGGAGCTCCCACTTTGCCTGTTCTGTGTCTCCCCTCCAGCTGGAACTGCCCCCTGCCCAGGCCTGAGCTGCACCAGTGTTAACATCATTCCTCTGTAAGAGATGTGCTCAGCTCCTAAAACATCTGCATTGGGTGCAAAGTTTCGGGCAGCTGCATCTGAGAGCTGCCAGGGTGGTGAGATCAGTGATTCCCTGCTCAGATGGGTTGGATTCCAGGTGGGATGGGTGGGAGGGAAAGCAGCCAGCACTGAAACCTGAGTGTGCAGATTCATGATGTCAGAAACTAATCTGGAAAGTCCTTTGCTTCCCCTTGACACTTTCCCCTCATCAAT